CCCAATTGATTCTCCACTTCATTCTTGAACTCTTTGAACTTTTCAAAGGTTTCTGACTTTTGCTTGATTAAATAGATACCCATATCTACTATAATCATCGGTAAAGTCACATAGAAGCGGTTCCCATCCTTCGTGGTGATCTAAAGGTCCACATACATCGGTATGTATTAGGTCTAATAGTCCCTCACCCCTTTCACAAGTACTCGTGAAGGGTGACTTAGTCATCTTTCCAAGTAAACAAGACTCGCATGTGTCATCTTCCCTAAGGTCGAATGACTCCAACACTCCATCCTTTTGGAGTTGGGCTATGCGTTTCTTGTTGACATGTCCAAGACGACAATGCCACAAGGATGCTTTATCCATACTAGTGGAAGAATCAATATTCAAAACATCATTTCCTAAGTTATCAACAATCATAACAGTTTCATATATTCCATTACATGGTATAGCTTCAAAGTAAAAGACACCATTTAGATAAGCCAAAATAGAACCATTCTCATTATTAAAAGAAAATCTAAATCCTTGTCTATATAAACCATGAAATGAAATGATGTTTCTAGCCATTTCTGGCGAATAGCAACAATTGTTCAAATCTAAAACTAAACTATTCTTAAGCACTAAAGAATACACTCCAATCTTGGTCACAGGCGACGATCTTCTGTTCCCCATGATTAGATTGATCCTTCCTTGCTCCACATCCCTACTTCTTTTAGTCCCTGCACATTAGAACAAATGTGATAACCACAACCGGTGTCAAGAACCCAAGAAATAGCATGATTAGAATCGTTAGATTTTATTGCATATATACCTGCGAAAGATGGCTTGATCTTTCCTTCCTTGATGGCTTGCAGGTAATCCGGGCAGCTTCTCTTCCAATGTCCTATCTTGTGGCAGTGGTGGCACTCTGCCTCCTTCGGGTTAGAGCAGGGCTTAGAGGGATCAAACTTTGGTCCCACTAGAAGAGGAACCATCTCGGGCTTTCACCTTTCGATAGTTATTTGAAGAAGCTTTCCTCTTCTTTCCCTTCCCTTGACCAATAGCCAAGACAGGAGCAGCGGATGGATTGGGAGTTGGTGCAACAGACTTGTCCTTGAAATTGCTCTCAGCAACCCTCAAGAGACCTTGGAGTTTACTTAGAGTGACCTCCTCTTTGTTCATGTGGTAGGTCATCCTAAATTGATTGTACATCGGAGGCAAAGAGTGAAGCACCATGTCGATCGCCAAGTCTTCGCCGAAGTCAACATTTAACTTGCGAAGGCGGTCGACATACCTTTGCATCTTTTGCAAGTGCACGGTAAGAGATTCTCCATGACCCATCTTAGCGGAAATCATGTTAGTGAAGATCTCGTAACGCTCTTGTCTCGCGTTTTGGTGGTACCTCTCCAACAAGTCTTGATGCATCTCGTATGGATACATGTCCTCGTAGGACTTTTGGAATTCGGAGTTCATGGTGGCGATCATGATGCAATGTACTTCGTTGCATCTCGCTCATGAGTTTCAAAGGCGGTGATTTCGGCGGGAGTAGCAACTTCGGGTTGATTTTCTCGAGCTTCTCGTCGAGGACATACTCTTTATCCTCATAGCGAGCAATGGTGCGAATGTATCTTATCCATTCGCTAAAGTTCGTTCCATCGAAGGTGACCTTTTGGCAAAGGCTCATCAACGTGAAAGAACTAGCAGCAGCGTTGTTTGCGTTTGACATCTATAGAAAGGACAAAGATAGATTAGAACAAGAATCCCTAATTATCACCCAATAAGAAAATTAGGGCTAGGATCCAACAATAACATTTACATACTAGAAAAGGGATGCCGTAATCCAATATGCAAATAAATTGAAGGTAAGTGAATGACGATTCACTAATTCTCCATCACAAAACTTAAACTTTTAGTCCTAAGTGTTTTGAGAATTCCTAGTTCGGATGAGATTCATTGAACTATTCAATGGCATGTTTAAATCTCGATATGCCCCTCTTGTTTGTGACTGGGATGCCGAGGATCACAAAAGCGGTGTGAATTACCATGCAAATTCACATGGTGCCTTCATTGTAACGATCACCTATTCGATGTGCGGTAAACCACACACGCTCCATCGAACTATGATAAACAATGAATCACCCTTTGCCACCTTCGCTTAGAACCAATTAGTGTGCCGGTAAACCACACACGCTCCACTAACATCTTAGCAAGGTGCAAAGTGTAATTTCATGGGATTGCATCAATTCACTTTTCCTAAAGTAACTAAGATTGGGAAATTTTAAAAAAATTTAGTTACTTCGTATTTCTTTTATACTTTTAATGAGAGGATGAGGTTGCCCTATCCTACCCGTTCGGCTAACGACCCTCCACCAATCAAGCAAGCGGTGGGTGTGAGTGTACACCCATTAAGCGCCATTTTATAGGCCGCAACCTTATACCCACCTTATAGATCGGCTTCGTGAATGAGGCCTACTAGCGGTAAGACTAGCATTTAGTTATACATATATATTTATTCTATAATATCATATAAGTATAGGGTTGCATTTTAAACCTTTTCAAAATCTAGGGTTTGAAATTTAAGTTGTCTAAATTAAAACTTTTAATCACAAATATAAATTTCAAAACTTAGGGTAGGTTTTAAACATTTAAAACATGAGGATCAAATAACAAATAATTCCAATTAACAATTAATATTCTAATTATCTTTATTTGATTTATCTTGATTTCTTTGAAGATAATTACCAAAATAATTAATCATTATCATATAAGGAAATTAAATATTTATTAGATGATAAATATCTTTAATTAGATCAAGATAATAGTCATATTTATCAAAAAATCGGATTTACATTGATCTAATATGATTAAGGTAAGTTTCCATAAGATAATTATGAAAAATCCCGAATCTGGCCATTCCTGACGCCTGGACTCGCCGAGTGCACAAGGGGACTCGCCGAGTCAGGCCTACTCGACGAGTCCACCTTGGAACTCGACGAGTCAGTGACTCAAAACCCAAAAAATCGAATTTTGCAGGTTTGTTTCAGTTATCAAGCAACAATTTAAAGAAAACCAATCTAGGCTCTGATACCACTGATGGGTTTTAGCCATAAGAACTTTCCTATGTGCGCATGCAAAACCCTATGCTTGGATCTAGGCTTTCTAATAAACATGCTTTTGAATCCAAGACTTCTAATGGCTAATTAGGTTAAACAACAATATTAAAACAGATCTAGAATCATACCTTTGAATCCCTTGTTGATCTTGTTTGTCTTGGAGCTTCTAGAGTCACAATTGTCACTCCTCTAATGGCTTACAAACACCAATAGCAAGCAAGATGATTTAGGAGAGAGGAGAGGGAAGGAATTCGACCAGAGGTTCCTTGCTTAAGGTTGTGTGTCGAATTCCCTCATCCACAGGGTCTATTTATACTATTAGACTCCTTAAGGGTTTCACCCTAAACCCTAATTGGATAATCTTCTCTTAAGGCTATCCAAATCCATTCCATAGATAACCCTATGGACGATTTGAGTTATCCTAAAGCTCTTAGAATCCGTCCAAGGTATATCCTAATGGATTTATAGTCTAAAGTCTAACTATCAAACAATTAACAGTTTATACCCTCTTATTTAATTAATCTCTTTAAGTCACCAAATTAATACCAATTAATTTATGACTTATATTAATCAAATAGCTAAATATTATTCCTTATAATATTTACTCTCTCTTAACAAATCATCCTTCAAGTTGCTATGGTGAAGGCAACCCAAAAGGACCATGCACCACCGAATATAGTTATAGCCTTAGACACTATTCCAACAGATATGTCACAAGTGCAACAAAGAGAATCATTTTGTAAAAAGATTGCAAGGAAAATGTGGTGAAAGACAGAGCATTCTACCTTAGAATGGCTCCAGAACTAGAGGAAATGGAAAAGGCTAGGGCATACGTGGCCCATGTCAAAAGATACCATCAAGTTTGGTCATCCGGAGATGAAGAAGAAGCCATCAGCAATATCAAAGCAAAAGGCAAAATCTGCATGCTAGCAACTATTGATGATGATGAGTCTACAAAGCTGGAAAAGAACTACTACTACATGGCAAAAGATGGAACACTAAGCATCGTCTAACAGGCCTTGTGCAAGGAGGAACAAGAAGAAGAATGGTTAATCGACAGTGCCTGGTCCTTGCACATGACAGGAAGGTTAAAATACCTTCGAGATTTCAGGCCAATTAGCAATGGTGGAAACGTCACATTTGGAAACAATTAGAATGGGATAATTCGAGATTATGGTGTTCTTACTATGGGAAACATTTCTATTCAAAAGGTTGCTTATGTAGAAGGCCTTAAACACAAAAAAGTGATGTGTTGATATGTCACAAGTGCAACAAATAGAAACATCTCTCTCTCTTCTGTCTTTGACTTGTGAAAGTCAAATGAACTAATGAGGAAACATGCTAATATATAGAGAAAACAACAACTATATTACTTCGTTTTCTTCATTGTTTGAAACTTCAAATCTGGTACATCACACATATGAATAGAACAATTTTCTAAACATTCTTGAAAGGTAACATAGCATTTGCTTTTACTACCACAGTTTTCTTCCGTAATCGGTTTTCCAGTAAGACAGCAACAAAACGGCAACCAAGCAGCCGACTCAGGGGTGCAGCAATGTGTCGGATCATTTATTATCCCTTCAGTCATACTAATGCTACCTACACACAAAAACGATTATCGTCAATTAATATAATATGTCGTAGCATAAGGATCTAATTGGACCATAAAACAAACATTAATGAGCTATAATGTCATTGTACTTAAAAGTAAGGCACATTGATGGTCATAACTAACTTAAAAAGCATAATAAAATAATAAAGTTAAGTATTTTTTACGGGTAAAACCGGATAAATATTACATTAATCAATTTTTTAGCAGATCAATTCAAAGTTTAAGGATTAGAGTTACTAAAAAAATATATGAATGACAATTCAAAATAAAAGTTGATAGATAGTCGGGCAACGATGACATTAACCCATATTTAAATAAATCCTTAAAAAAATAAATCAGGGTATAATAATGATTAAATCTTTATTTTATATATGTTATTTTAGAACCAACAAAACATACAATTTCATAAGTTAACATTTCGCTGTTATAACATATTATTTGGATTTTTTATGATAGTTGTGAACAATGGATACAATTACGGTGGATGGTTATATATATATATATATATATATATATATATATATATATATATATATATATATATATATATATATATATATATATTCTGAATAAGTTTTAAATTTGAAAGTGTAAAAGAAAATTTACCTATAGAAAGGATGCTAACAAGCATAAAGACAACAAAAATTGAGCTGTTCTTCATACTTAGACCTTGAGCTTCTATACGTTTATGTTTTTTGCTACGCAAAATTTGAATTTATAGCCATCTAATTAATTTGACATATTTTATAAAAGTGAGAGTATTAATTGTAAATATACTAATTAATTGTTTGGATTAACACTATTACCATATTAATTTTCATTAACTATTACAAAATATATGAAATTGTTTATATCATAATTAGTAGTAAAATAATTATTATTATGTTACATATATGTTAAAAATTATAACCGATATGAATATATGAGACTCAAATATTTTTATAACTTAAAATGACATTATTGTTAAATTGTTTATATGCATGTAATTAATCTCACATTATATATATATATATATATATATATTATATATATATATATATACTAGTTTATAACCCGTGAGAACCAATGTTATAAAATTAATTAAACTTTAATAATAAAAACTCAAAATTACTAATAAATTATTTAAAATAAATTATCAATTAAGAGAATTTTTTAGTTATATAAATTTTAATAATTGATTTAAATAAATATGTGAAATGATATCACTTTATATTTTGTATTAATTTTATTTTAAGTTTTATTCTAATGTTATTAATTTAATATAATTACAGTGGGAAATTTATATTTTAAAATTTAGAATGCATAATCAATAGGTTGACAAGCGGCATGCATTAATTAGAAAACATTATATGGTGACACATGATAAAAAGAGAATAAAATATACATTAATTAGGAGGTCTAAGAAGGTGACATATGTCAAAAGGAGAATGAAATTATTCTTTTATTAGAATAGGTATATATATATATATATATATATATATATATATATATATACATAGTAGGTGTAAAACTCATGTATTACATGAGTTTATTTAAAAGAAAAATAAAATATGAAATTCTAAACATTTAAAAGATTGAGTTTATAAGAAAATTAGAAAACTATTGAATTATTAAAATTAATGTGATTTTTTTTTTATAAATTTAAACAAATAATTTAGATTAATAAACAAAAGAAACTAATGATGTTTTAATTTACAAATTTTAAAATTAACTGGAAAGTCAATTAATGAAATTGATATACATTTATTATAATTGTTACATTTAAATATTATGTGGAATTTGATAAAATGAAAAAAGAAACCACAAAATGTCATGTGGAAAAAATTTAATTGAAAATAACCACAAAATGACATGTAGCCAAATCAATGAGAGTTTGACATGTGCCTTAAATTACTTTGTGTGAGACCCATGTATTACATGAGTTTATTTAAAAAAAAGTAATATGAAATTCTAAATATTTGAGAAGTTGGAATTTATAATAAAAACAAGAAAAATATTGAATTATTATAAAAATATTTTTGTTCTTTTTTAAATTTAAACAAATAATTTAGATAAACAAAAAAAGGAAACTAATGAGGCTTTAATTTAGTAAGTATGAAATTAAAAGGAAAGTTAATTAATGAAATTGATATGTATTTATTATTAAATTTAAATATCATTTGGAATTTAATAAAATGGAAAAACCATAAAATGACATTTGGAATAAAAATTAATTTAAAATAACCACAAAATGACTTGTGACAAAATGAATGAGAATGTGACATGTGGTAAAAACAAATCTTTATTTATTAGAGTATAGTAGGTGTGAGACCAAAGTATTACCTGAGTTTATTTAAAAGAAAAAATAAATATGAAATTCTAAATATTTGAGAAGTTTGAATTTATAAGAAAAGTAAGAAAAATATTGAATTATTAAAAAAAATTAATTTAAACAAATAATTTAGATAAATAAAAAAAGGAAACTAATGATGTTTTAATTTAGTAAGTTTGAAATTAGAAGGAAAGTATATTAATAAAACTGATATGCATTTATTATTATATTTGAATATCATTTGGTAATTTAATAAAATGAAAAAACCATAAAATGACATGTGGAATAAAAATCAATTTAAAATAACCACAAAATTACATGTAACAAAAAGACTGAAAATGTAACATGTGGTAAAAACAATTTTTTTTTATTTATTAGAGTACTAGTTGTGAGACCCATGTACTAATGGGTTAATTTAAAAAAAAAAAAAAAGTTAAATATAAAGGTTAAAATATTTGAGAACTTGAAATTTATAAGAAAATAAGAAAAATAATGAATTATTATAATGAAAATGTTTTTTATCTTTTAAATTTAAACAATTAATTTATATAAACAAAAGAAACTAATAAGCTTTAATTTTGAAAATTTTGAAATTAAAAGGTAAGTGTATTAATGAAATTAATATTTATTAGGTACTATATTATAGCAATTATTACATTAAAATATTATGTGGAATTTAATAAAATATAAAACTCATAAAATGGCATGTGAAAAAAAAAGTAACCACAAAATGATATTTGACAAACCAAATGAGAATGTGACATGTGGCAAAAAAAACACTTTCATTTATTAGAAATGATATATATATATATATATATATATATATATATATATATATATATATATATATATATATATATATATATATAGTTAGGTTCAAATGTTTTAGTATCTATTGTGTGCATGTAGGATTGATTATGCACCAATCATTTTAGTTATTTTAAGAAAGTAATTATTGCATATTAAATGTTGAAGATTTAATTAATACTTATTATATCTTCAACATGTAATATGCATTAATTACTTTTTTAAAATAACTAAAATGATTGGTCCAGAATCAATACAATAGATAATAAGAACAACCTAACTAATGAGTTTAAAACTTTTAGATCGATTAGATCTTTCACAGGCAAGATTATAGAAATCAAACAATTCAAAACAATAAGAGAATGAACACAAATCAAAATCAAATGTATGCTTATGATTCAAAACAGAGTCACGCCTCAGCAGAGCTCGATGAAGAACTTCCGCTGTAGAGGCGAGCTAGGGTTTACAAAACTATGAAGCAAATATACAATGAAAGCGATAACAGTTAAGTACCGAGCCCATGACTCAATCTAATAGACCCAACAATCTCCCCCTTTACATCAAATGAGGCGAGAGATTACTTCCTCTGTGTGGGCCTCACACACGAGGAATTATGGCAAGAAGAGTCTGTCTAAATTGTATGTACCACCTCAGCATGTCAGAAAATAATTTCTTATCAGCAGCACTGTTCTGATTGCACCTCTGAATGATCTCCAAGATATGCTCAAGGCAAGACGTCGAGAAGAGGTGTTTGTCAACAAGAGCGAACAGACATTTTTGACTTTCGCCCCTGATGAACATAACGGTGTGATACTTTGAGTCGATTTTCCCCTTGATCATGGTATTGACATTGCCAGCTCTGCCCATAGTCTTGATCGTTGTTATGGGCTTGATCGTTGTTCGCTTGTGTATGGCAGAGGCAATTTCCTAATCCATCTTCGCTACCTCATGTATGTAGAAAACAAGCATACGCTTGACATGATCAATAATTGGCTGATACTCCGAAGGATTCGATAGAAGAATGTTAATGAGGAGTATCCAATTATGAGGGTTAAGGTTTGGTAGATCAGCAAGGGAAAAATGGTAGACCGAGCCTTCGGTTCCTCGAGTCAACCTGAATTTGACATTAATAAATTTCCCTGCTGAATAGGGCTTCATTACCTTGACTGTGGTTATTTTCTTTGAGCTCCAAGTCAGGTATTGGGGTTGAGCAAACTCCAAGTAAAATTCCAGAAGATCCCTATCTACCTTCGGGTCAGGGGAAGGAATAGCAGCAGTCGAGTTGAAGCAGTGGAAGATAAATGCCTTTCAAGTGATTGGCATGTCGAACTTTGCATCCTTGGAATTATCAAGACTAAAGGACATTATTGGCTCAAGCCATAGAATGCTTGGCTCATCAATTGCACATCTTTGAAGCGAGTCTATTGTCCACACATGAAACATGGACTTTTTCTTCTCTAGGAGCTCCGCCTCCTTTCGCTTCAGCTCTAGCTCAGCTTATTGTTTCTTGATGTTTTCTTCCAATTCTTTTTCAGAAGTCTTAACCTTCTGGAAGGGATTCTTGGGATTTTCAGCATAGACATCATCATCTTCATTGTCTGTGTCGTCATCGTCGATTTTATTCTTCGTTTTGTCTTTGTTGCTGACCGAAGCTAGATTACCCTTCGGTTCAGCATATGGTTTTTATCCAGAAGGAGGAGGTTGTGATGTTACTTTCTCTCCCCCTTGTTTCGGTTGGACCCCGGTCACCGGAACACCCGCGATGCAACTGAGAATGTCTAATGCCAGTCTGAGCTTGTCTGCGAGATGACGCCTGAAAGTTATAGTGATGATCGGATCATGAGCCTCAATAAGATGAAGAAGGATGGAGTGAACATCTGCAGTAGAACTCCTAATGACCTCCCTTTCTGACTTTAGGTCATTAACCTCATTAGTCGCAGTACGCAGTTTGAGATTTTGCATTTTGAGCTGTGAAGTACGTCTGTCTAGCTCATCCATAATTCGATTCTCCACAGCTACATCTGCTTCCAGTTGAGTTAAGCGATCGTTGACATTAGCATGGAGCGATTCATTGGCTTGTTGAATGGCTTGGCGTGCTGCTTCGAGGTTCGAGCGCTCAGATTGAAGAGACTTTTGAAGGTTCTCAACTGAAGCGTTAACAGTTTGAGCATTCTTGGCAGCAGCAGCCTGCAAGGAATCTAGAAATATATGAGCTTCGAAGACTAGTTTATCGACTTTTGTGGTCGCCTCCTTGCACTCCTTAGTAGAGGCATCAATAGCAAGCGAGGCCTGTTGACATTGGGAAGTAGAGGCTTCTATTGCCTTGGCTGCAACAGATAAAGTAGCATTGTGTTCATTAACGATCGAGGAGAACAAGGCCTTCAAAGCAGCTTCTGAATAGGCACCAGAGGAAGAGGATGAAAGCAGTTGATCAAGCTTTTCGTTTACTGCCTTTAGATGATGTTTTGTAACTGGCTCATCGTCATCATCATCGCTCTGCACTCGATAAGGACTGAAATATGTGGTATCGAATTCCACATCCTCACCACCTAGAATAGGGGTTGTTTCAGCAGAGTGTGTGGAAGATAAGGGTTTGGAAGAAGGTGGAGTGTAAAACCCCAAAATACGAGCCAAAAATTTCATTTTTGAAAACGTATTTTTAGCAAAACATTCGAATTAAAACATTTACTGATCATAGTATTTTAATAAGATATCGCATGTCTGGAAAACATTTCATAAAACATAATAATGTCAGAGTACAAATCCCCAGGAAGTTCTCATGATGCGGAATACGAAGCATGTGTGTGATGGGCTGCTACCGCGCCAGCTCCTTCCCCTTCGAATAAGAGGTACCTGAAACCAAAACTGAAAACTGTAAGCACGAAGCTTAGTGAGTTCCCCCAACCTACCACATACCATACAATCACATAACATGCATATATCATCAGGCATATCTGGGTGCCCGACCTACCCCTTCGGTCCTCTCGACCGGATACTGTCTAGCATAACTGGGAGCTTGCCTCCCCTTCGGTCCTCTCGACCGGATACTAACTAGCATATCTGGGTGCTGGTCTCCCCCTTCGGTCCTCTCGACCGGATACTGGGGACTATTTCACCCCCTACTACTACCACATAACACATATATCTCGTAATCTATCTAGCATGGCTGGGCATGACCGCCCCTTCGGCCCTATCGACCGGTAATCTGGGGACTATCTCCCCCTACTGTCACTAGCACATAGCAGCATATCATACTAGCACATAAACATATCACAGGTAGTAGCAACCTTAGATGAATATCACAGAGACAATCATCCATCATACAACTCCTACTGGTGGGCCGGCATTGTGGCCGTAGACCCACCGCTACTGGAAGGTAACTCACCTCGTAGTAGCTACTGATCTATGTGGGAATAGTCTGTCTGCTGCTGCTGCTCCGGAAATCCTCCAGCTGAAATTCCCACCAAACACTTAGTCAAATACTGCTAACCGCCCTCAGGGTAAATTGCCCATTTACCTTTAACAAGCTATGAGTCAAGTCACAGTCAACTGCCAGTTGACCAAACTCACCGAGTTGGCTTGCCGACTCGCCGAGTCCCTTTTTCTATACCCAAGTCCAATAGTCCTTCATCCTACTCACCGAGTTATATGAACAACTCGCCGAGTTCGCCTTCATACGAAGAACACTCTAAGTTGTGACTCGCCGAGTTGTATGAACAACTCGTCGAGTTGTTCTTGAGACAAGAAGATTGCCATGAACTCGCCGAGTCATGGCATTGACTCGCCGAGTGACCTCATGAGTGAGTCTGGCTTCCAACCCACTGAGTCATACCCTATGACTCACTACTCCAACTCGCAAACAAAAAAAGGGAACAACCCTGGGACTCGCGACCCGACTCGCCGAGTCAGATGAACGAATCGCCGAGTCGGCCACATGCAAAAACCATAAACGCGATTTTGCTTGGATCCAACTCATGCCATTCATAGATCTGGGATCCTGGGGCCTGGTTTACACATAAAGTTTCCAACTTTATGTGTAGAAATGCATAGAATGGGGATTAGGGGCAAAATAATGGCTAAGAAGGTAGATCTAGGACATTCAAGCAATTTACTCCCATAAAGGTTATAGATCTGAGCTTCTGGAGCTCAAACATGACTAGTTCTAGCGGATACTCAACCTATTACGAATTCTACTTCATGCACAAGCTTGGAAAAGGTTCAAGAAGAGCTCAAAAGGTGCTCTAATGGGGTTTTAAGCATGCAAACAGAATAGAGTAGAGATATACCTCAGAGAACTCTGAAATAGTACCAAGATATCTGGTCTCCTTCTCCTTTTCTTGCTCTACTCTCCTTCTTCTCCCAAAAACTTCAAGGAATCACTCTAATCACTTCAATCTTACAAGAAACGGGTTAGGGTTTGATGTAGGGCACTCTGAGGGTGAAAGGGGGCGAGCTTGGGTCGCACAAGCTAGCTTAAATAGGAGGCAAACCCTTGGAATTAGGGTTTCATCAAACAGCAGTGACTCGCCGAGTCCAGGATATGGACTCGCCGAGTCGCCAACTTAAGCGTGCCCCCGGACCGTGTCCCTACTCGGCGAGTCGGACCTACAACTCGTTGAGTCCAAGGCTAAAATGACAATTACTTGGATAAATTTTTACGTACCAGGAACCAGGTGCTACATGGAGGTTCGGTTGTGATAGGAGGTTCGGTTATGGTAGTGGTGGTATTTGTGAAAATAGGAGTGGGAATAGGAATTGTAGTGAATGGTTGAGAGGTGATAATCGGAGAGATAGGAGGGATTGAAACTGGGATTGTTACAGGTGGAGGTGAAGAAGGATTAGAGCGAAATGGAATTTCTAGGGTAGGGGAGCGAGGCGGAGTGTCACCTCGGCCCGAAGCCTTATCTTCTGAACTTTCACTCTCAGATTCTGATGGAGGAGCGTTCTTGTGCTTAGGAGGGACATATTCTGAATCTGAATCACTTGAAGATTGTAGAATAAGTCTCCTAGCGGGCTTCTTTAGCTTTTTCGGTTGAGCCTGAGAAGGGGCAGCTTTATCAGATTTTCGCTTCTTGGGGGTTTGCCCCTTAGTTTTCCTAATCATGGTCCTTCCTTCTGTGTTTCAAGATTCTTGACCCTATTGGCTGGCTTGTCAGCCTCTTCAATAGACCAAACCATTACAGGTGTAAGCTCTCTTGGTCCAGCAGATGGATGCTTCCTGTACTGTTGAAGAACGTTACTCGACTCAGAAATACGACTGAGCATTGCTTCAGGAATGGATCCAATAAATGAGAACTTGGATGGATCAGTAATGATGATCTTTGTCGTATGAAAGGTAGCGATGGATGAGAGCAAAGAGTCCGCCATTATTGGAACACGTAGACGGTCCATTACCCAATTCGTGATGATCATCCTAAATCATCCACAGGAACTCTCAGAATGCCTTGACGAAGAGACCAAGCTTTGAACCAACTGCGGCCAGATAATTGACCCATAATCTAGGTCAATTCCATTGTACAACCCATACAGTACCTTCATGAAGGATTTTCTTGCACCATCGGAGCCAGCACTTCGCTCCAATAGTCCCTTGAACAACAATGTAAAAAGGCCATTCCATTGAGGAGGAAGGCAAAACTTCTTGAACTTCGTAATGGTGGTTAGGGTTTCAGTATACCCCATCTGATAGAACATGGTGAACAATTGACTAGTTGTAATGGACTCGGGGTTTACCAGAGATGGATCTTGAGAAAGACCAAGTAGGGCATATAATCGATGCTTGTAGATTGAGGTCTTCTCATCGTGGAGTTCAAAGTGAATTCATTCATTAATCCTGTCATAGAATGCAGTAGAGTAGACAAGAGACAAGC